AGGATGTTCGTTTGGGCCATTGGCGACAAGCTGCTGCAGCTTCTCGATGTTGTACGGAGTGACAACTTCGGGGTAGGTCAGAGTTCGAGCAATACTTCTTGGAACACCGACCTCGTCAAGAGACAGGTTCGGATCACCAGTAATGACAGTACGAGCGGAGAAATCGACACGCTTGCCCATCAAGTTCTGTCTAAGACGACCCTCCTTACCCTTCAGACGGCTTCGGATAGCCTTGACCGGTCGGTTCGACTTTTGCATGGCCTTCGGCTGACCAGCGATATCATTGTCCATGTAGGTGGCAACGTGGTACTGCAAGAGCGACTCAAACTCGCGTACGACGTGTTCAGGAGCGCCTTCCTGTTCGCACCGCTGGACATTCTGGTTCGCTCGGATAATCTCAGCCAACTTGTAAGTCAGATCATCCTCACCGCGCTGGCCGCTGGTGCTGCCACCGACGAGAACACTGGGACGGACAGGAGGAGGGGGGACAGGCAGAACAGTGATGATCATCCATTCAGGACGAGCATAGTCATTACTCAAGCCCATGATGCGAACATCTTCGTGAGAAATGTTGCGGAAGACATTCAGGGCCATCTGAGGAGTAATGACTTTCTTTTCCGGCTGCTGCATCTCATCCTCATCCATCATGCTCTTGTTGGGCTTCCATGTTCCAACCAAAGTGATACCCTCTTTACGAATCGTGGGCTGGGCGTTACCGCAACCACCATGCCTCCGGAGAGGCTTGGAGCTCTCTTTCGAAAATGGCTCGTCCTCGTCCGGCGGAGGGTCTGCTTCACAGATCAACACATCCTTGGACAGTCTCCAGATATGGTCGAAACGTCGCTTGGGATCTCTCATGCGTAGGGCTTCTAAGAATTTGGAGTCGGACTGGTTCTATGTCAGCATATCATGCCATCTAGGATTTGCCATCCCAATTAGGGATGACTAACCGTATCGGCTTTGATCTTGCCACAGTTGTGGCAGACAGTCTCAAGGAGTTTCTTGACTTTGGTCAAGAAACCTAGAGTATAGGGTTAGTTTCTCGCATCTGTAGCGGATTCTTAGACAGATAACATACCGATGTGGAAGACTGGAGTCGCCAGCTCGATGTGTCCGAAGTGCCCAGGACACTCCTTTTGACCCTCCTCGCAGGTCTCACAGTTCCATTGCCGGTCAATCGTACCCAAGCGAGGATCATTCAAACCCTTTGTCCGCGGCCGCATCCGTTGTTCGTCCTGTTTATCATTTCGACCTGTCAGTCATCCCACGCCACAAGCCCCTGTCAACAGAAGACAAGTTGTACGAACCATCGTCTCTGGATACTCAACATGCACCACGCTCATCCTTTTGATCTCCTCTGGAGAGAAGAGTCCAAACTGGATCTCCTTGATGGTGCGCAAAGGCGCCTTGGAGTAGGGAAAGTAAACGTTCGACATGGTGGCGGTCGGTCGTCGGGTGTGGATGTGATACTCGAAGGAACGAAGGCGGTTTAGCGATCAACGACACGAACGATCCGAGTCGCACAAAGCAAAATCAAGCGATACTAGAGCGTTAACAATCAAGCGTGCTCGAGCGACGATGAAAGAGTTTGCAAGCAGCTGGCCGGCTGAGGCCTTTGGCAGCCCTTGCCACGAGGGCGCCTGCGACCTGGTGTCCCCGAATCCGCGAAACTCGGGGGCGAAAGGGCGGAAAAAGGTATATCTCGATCGAGTACGTCGAGGTCAATAGCCCAATGAGAGACAGGTAGATATCGCGATACGAGACGCGATGATCTGAAGGGTTGAGGGATGGGCAAGCAGCGTGTCGAGATGAAAGGGAGATGGTTGGATGTCACTTCAGTTTGGATGGGGCACGAGTTTTCTTGAGCCGCAGCCAACAGCACTAGCGCGGTGCCCGCTAAAAGTCCGCAACGCTAATTCATAGAAACTTGGCAGATGGCAGAAAATTCAGATTTGTAATACAAGGTCATCCAATAACGTTGCCCATATGGTGGAGCCTATGAGTTTTGCTGATGACTTATAAATTGCACCTGACCGCCCAGCGACTGCCCTCTCATATAACAATCCAGCCATGAGACTGATTCACCTCTTATCGCCGACTGTGCTCGCAGATTACCTAGCCACCAAGGGTGCTGGATGAATCCTTCACAATCATCCCTCCTGGCCTTTCTTCAGGCTGGGAAATCTTCTCCCCTTAACTGCAGTCACTCTGTTCTCACCTGAAACGCGCTAGTATACCACTATGAATTTATCACTCATTGATCCTTTCGTCCTCGCCCAGGACTATCCCGACACCTTGACAGAGAAATTGAGTCCGTCGGCGCTCCCGTCACTTTCCCAATGCGACCTGGCTAACGAGCGACAGGGAGCGGGCACGCGACATGTTTGCGCTTCAATCGCAAAGGAGATTACCTTGCTTCCGGACGAGTGCGTACAACCCACTTCCTTTCGGCTCACCAATTTCGAATCCTCATTGACACCTCATTCTATAGGTGGACGGTACTGTGGTTATTTTTGATATAGAGACGAATGGAGTTGCGCGGAAACTCCGCGGTCATACCAGACAGATCCAATCTCTCAGGTGGGGAATTACTCCCCTGCGGAGTCGACCGAGAGCATGTCGTGCTGATAAGAAGGAATAGCTGGTCTAGAGATGGACGATACCTCCTCAGCTCCTCCCAGGACTGGAAATGCATTTTGTGGGACATGAAAGATGGTTCCCGCGTGCGCACTGTCCGATTCGAGGCACCTGTGTATATTGCAGAACTACATCCTTTTAACCAGTGAGTGTCCCTTGCTCCTGCAGGGTTAGAGACCTGTCTCTAAAGCATGTCGGATGGTTGCAGTTTACTCTTCGTCGCTTCTCTTTTCGAAGACCAACCAGTCCTCGTGGATATTTCGTCCCCGAAACCAATCAAGCGAATACTCCCGTCCGCTCCATTTCGTCCTCCGCCATCCGCCTCAGAAGAAGTCGACCCAGCCGTGGCCGCCAAACAAGCCGCGCAAGATGCAAAGCACTCGACGTGCGTCACAATCTTCTCGGCATTTGGGAATCACATCATAGCAGGCACATCCAAGGGCTGGATCAACATCATCGAGACGCAGACCTGCACGACCATCCACTCGACCAGGCTCTGTAACGGCGTGGTCATACTCCTCCGTTTGGCAAGCAACGGCCGGGACTTGCTCATCAACAGTTCCGATCGCGTAATCCGAACCATCATCATGCCAGACCTGTCGCAATTAGGGATCGACCTCGAGCCCGCGAACATCAAACTACAAGTGGAACATAAGTTCCAGGACGTGGTCAACCGCCTAAGCTGGAACCACGTCACCTTCTCCTCTACCGGCGAATTCGTCACTGCCTCCACATTTATGAATCCGGACATCTACGTCTGGGAGCGAAGCCACGGCTCCCTCGTCAAGATCCTCGAGGGTCCCCGTGAGGAGCTCGGCGTTGTCGAGTGGCACCCGTCACGCCCCATGGTAGTCGCCTGTGGCCTGGAATCAGGGTGCATATACACGTGGTCCATCGTCACGCCACAGAAGTGGTCCGCCCTGGCGCCGGATTTCGGCGAAGTCGAAGAAAATGTCGAGTACATGGAACGGGAGGATGAATTCGACATCCACCCGGCGGAGGAGATCCACCAACGGCGTCTCGACCAGGAAGACGAAGTCCCCGATGTCCTTACCATCGAACCGCTAAAGAGTGGCGCAGAGGGCGAGATGGAAGCTTTCCGCATGCCAGTCCTCCTGGACATTTCTGATAGCGAAAGTGAAGAGGACATAGTGGCCGTAGGGCCGGGAACGATGCGTCGCCGGAGTCCCGGTGCAGGTCGGGAGTGGATGAACTCCAATGGCGACGGAGACAAAGAAAGTGGGAAGCCCGGTGCTGGTAGAGGTCAAAGGGGCCGGCGGAAATAAGCTGATCTCTTATGTTTTGTAATAAACACCGATGGTCATCACAGCAATTTTTGGGGATCCGCAACATTTGACGAAAGCATTTTACGGCGTTTGACGGCACACATATCATGACGGGAACTAAAAGATTTGGGGATTTTTCAAGGATTCCGAAAAAGGGTGGATCTTCGAAGAGTTTTGACCACAAGTTTAGGGCATGAGTTGAGATCATATCCAATGTATTGGCTGGATGTCTTTTTTTCCATACGAAGGCAGCCGCTCGTGCCGTGTCATCAATATCATTATAGCCAGGATTTTCTTCCAATAATTCATCTTCAAAAAAGACCAAAGGGATGGAAAAATCAATAGCAAGAGGGTTGATACTGCCGTCCAGACAATAAGGCAAGCTGATCTGGATATAAAGCCACTGTACACGGCAACGTCCTTCCCTACAGTACGCCAGGGCATGCTATAAAGTGCAGTGCAACTATCGCGACCCATTCGGCCGAAACAGAAAAGAAATTTGTGGCCTTCCCCCTCAGCGAGATCTGGGTCGCTCCTATCTTCTTCTGTCCAACCAGTGCAAATGTCCTTATCAGAGCAATTCCATGTCTCTGGTGCCACGATATCAGTCGATCATGACTCCCGCGGCATGGGCTGTGAATGTGGCGGCACCGAAATTGGGTTACCTATGATGTATATATTCCTTGACCGTTTAGAAAGTCCTCAAAAGCCAACAATCAGGCTTTCCGACGGACAGGAAACGGGGTAAGCCTTCGTTCCAAAATTTTCGGGCGAACTTTCAGAGGTTTCCGCGAGCGCATGAATCTGGAATTGAACAAGGATGGTCGGTCATGGGAGTTGGCGACCGAGATTCTGATGTTTGTGCGTTTGCAGGGTGTGTGCTGTGTGGGTCGCAATGGTCTCTGAGATGTTCAGTCCAGTTTTGTAACAAGGAGAAAGCGAGATGAAGGAAGAAGATCGCTTGGATCGTTTTCTAAGCGGATCGGTGGTTCAATCCGAAGGTGGAGATCCGCATTCATGGCGCGCAGTTTACTGACCACGATCTGAGAGGACAGAAGGATGCAAGGTTGGTCTCGGTCAATTGGCGAGGGGCTTTCGAGCCTGGTATATATGCAGTATGTTGTAAGTATGAATTTCTTTATTGAAAGCTTCCGACTTGACGTCGGCTGCTATTTGCTTGATTCGTTCGATAGGCCAACCGAACACGCGGCTGAAAGGGGCCAGGCTCATCGTCTCGATACTCTCCGAGATGGCGAGGTTATACCAACGAGCCACTCTTCTCTCATGCTCGTCCTGATGCCAAGGGTTGAGAGGGAGTCCAACCATTTGATGGTCAATTTCAGTAAATCCGGCCTCCTGCAGATTTCGAATCGTTTCACGCGAATTGTGCGCGACCGGCCGCATGGTTTCCTCTGTGGCTTGTTTCAATAACTGGTACCATTGTCGAATAGCCAAGCCTTCCAAAGAGCGATCATCGCAACGGGGTTCGAAATCGATTTCCACCTGCTCAAACCAGGCACCCGGACGAAGATGGGAATAAATCCTCCGGTAGAGGTTGGGCCAGCTTGCGACGCTGCCAGAGCCCATCTGCGTATGAATCAGATCCCACGAATCCTCCCCAAGAGCCCAAAGGCTTTCAAAGTCGAATGGCGCATAGAAGTCGCAATTTCTCGGGTGATTGGGAGGCTGTATGGGGGCCAAATCTACCCCAACAACGAAGGCCTCTGGATACTTGTTGGCCACATCGATCGCCCAAATCCCTGTCCCACATCCCAAATCGAGAAACCGGCCGTTGGAGGGATGAGGAGCATAGATCAGTCCGTCCGAGACTCTCGCCACAGTGAAAAGCTTGTGGAAGATATCTAGACGATCCTGCTCCTGCTCGTCGCACGGCAACATGTAGATTCCTTTGCGGTATCCATGATACGTTCGTCCGTTCTCCTGATAGCAAGGGTATCTGTCAGGATTCCTAAAGGGAGAAGAGAAGAAAAGGAAGGTTGTATATTAGTCACCCAATGGTAACAAATTTGCAATGTTAACAGCTTTGACGACAGTCAAGGGAGGGAAATCATGAATATGAGAGGAGAAGGGAGAAGGGAAAAAGAGTGATATACTTGCTACTGGTAGAGTTAATGCTTGGGGATCCATTGGCGTGCCAACGACCAGCGGCCGGGTCTCTCTCTGCAGCCGGACCCCTGTCTGTGATTGTATAGATGTCCATAGCATCAGAGTTGTTCCTTGAGCGGCCTAAGGCATTGAAATTTGTCGAAATAGATCCACGAATGTTAGGTGGCGGGGAGGCCACCGTCGGAGGTCGCTGTCCACCCTGCCCGTTGAGATACATCAGGTCGAGGCGGTCCAATCGGATTTGGGAAAAGAAGAAAAAGAAGAAAGAGAATAGTATGTTGGCGAGGGTAAAGGAGGAACACACAATGTTGACTGGACAGGAATCTGTCGTGGGGAGATATATCGATAGAAGATACGGTGGCTATTATCACAGATCAAAGCTAACATATAGGAAGGAGGACAAGGCTGAGCACAGCGGCTGCAGAAATACTGCATAGAAGAATGGACAAGGTGATCGAAGGGCGCGAGAGGTCTTTTTGTGAAGAAACACATAGAATCATCACACACAAACACACGCACGCAGCAAGAATAGGTAAGATTCCGTGATACACGGCACTCTTGAACTCAGCCGCACTGAGCACCCAACGACAGAATCAAAAGGTAACAACAGACCTGAAGCGCCGCGGCTGCCTCCCCGCGGAAGACCCAAGCCTCTGAGGAACCACACAAGAGCAGTTACGACGCGACCATGCAGGACTCTGGCTCGATGGACTCTATCGTCTGGATATAGGCAAGCAGAGTCAACGTATCTAATGGATTAGTGAATCAAGATCAACCATGGATCGATGACGGACGATCAAGGAAGAACCTATTGAGATGGAGCGAGGGGCGGTTAATCAATGCAAGAAGAGTAAATGATGGAGAAAGAAAATAAAAATAAAAATAGATAAAAACAAAATATTATTTAGTACAGGGGAAAACAAAGAAAGTGTATCATAATATGATAATTATAACAATAGAAAAAAGAAGAAAAATAAATAAATCAAACGAAGAGAACAGTGCGAAGTTGAAGAAGAGATGAAAGGACTAAGGAGCAAAAGCAAAGCACAGCAACCAAGGCTTTAAGGTTGTGCAACCGCTGTCTCCCTACCCGTCAGGCCCACGGGCGCGAAGGCGAGGCGGGGCGGTTGGGAAGGGCCCAGCGTTTGGACTGATCGCTCAGCCTGAGGCGCCAATTTGTTCAGCGAGGGTGGAAACAGAGAGAGGGACTGCAAGGTATGGTTGATGAGGTACTCTGTTTCATGTAGTTATGAGTAAAAGATGTGATTTGATATACAATCAAGTTGGTTTGATGGTTGGTTACATAGCCTTTAGTGCATGAGTTGATCAGATAGCTATGTAGAGTATGAAAAGGGGCAAGTTGATGGCAACGTAAAGTCAGACAAAATCATTAAGGATAATAATAATATGGCAGTTATAATTAAAGGCATTATTATCATGATGTCAAAGGAAGAGACTGCCTATGGAGCAAGGTACCAACCTACCAACCGACCTATTATTGTAAGACTGTCTGTCTACAACGCATCCAAGACCCTGCCAATGCAGAAGACGGACCCATTTTCAGCGCTACTTAGAGACTTTTTTTTGGATTGAATTTCCAGGAGAACTCTCGGTTATGCTCCATGATCTGACCACATTGCTCTTCTCTAGTGCTCGAGGACCAAAGCGTACTCGACTACTGTAGGGATTAGACAGGGTCTCTGATGGCTGTTTGTCTAACTCAAATCAAGCGAATAGCGAACAATATGAACGGCTCAAAGACAGTGCCCGTCGCTATTGATTAGGACTAGACTAGTAGATATTTTGGCCCTCAACAGTGCTCTATTTAGTCAGGGATCAGGTGCAGTGTTCCACAGACTTCAGTGCATCAACAGGGGGCTGCATCCTGGTAGACCTATAATCCATGTATGTACCTCCCTTTTGCATAAGGACATAGTACGCTCATCTCACGCATCAACTCTGTACAGGAGACACCCAGACGGTTCATGGTCTGGTATCTATACTTTAAGCCTTAAATAAAACATACTTTTTTCTACATTTTCTTACTTGAGACTAGGGCCCATCAGTACCCGGGTTTCCGGGTCCGCACAGAGAAAATTAAATTTGAAAGCAATCTTGCACTTGCGAGTGCCAACAAGCTAGCGAAGACGAACGGAGGAAAATGGCGGTAAACCCACTTTAGCGGGTGTCAACCCTGGTACTGTAGGTTTGGGGAATACCTTCCCAGACAATATAGCTCTTTTATTCTCTGTTCTTTGAACTGTTGAGTGCGTAGAATCTCGTCATCATGACTTGCATCTGCCGACTATTAAAGATAGTCCCCGCTAGTAAGTCGTACTACTGAGGTTGTAGTCTGTATGTCCCCTCTCACTCCAGGTACAGCGGGTAGTGACTACTCGACAATGAAAAAGAGTAGGTTACCAACATCCTGGATATCGAAGGAAACTAAGGGTTGTACTAATCTTCGGAGGAAAAGATAGCGTAACTGTTCCCGTCAATAGTACTAAGGTAGTAAGGAGGGGTTCTGGTTTCATTTCATTTCGGATTGTTCTTGTTCGAAATGGGTATCTCCTGGAGTCCTGGGTCCCACCAAGATTATCAGAATTCCCGCTCAAAAGTCAAAGGACAAAGAGAAAAAGTGACTTTCGGGGCGGGACGCGGACCGTCGTCCACTCTTGGTCAAAGTCAAATTGTCCAATTGCAGTGGATTATTTTTCCGCAGCTAGACCATTTCGGTTCAGGCCTAGACAAAGTAGTAAGGTATTACTAACTACCCGACGGAGTTCCAGTCAAACCTAGGTACCTATCTTGGTAGATACTGCGAGCAGTGAGCACAATAATGATGAGTACAGTCTGGTATGGTCACTCTGGTGAGACCTACTAGGTAAGGTAGGTTGACTAAGTATTAGGTAAGTATGGTACGGATGAATCAGAGATGCCGTCTCTCAGACTTCGACTCTTACTGTACTCCACGTGTCATCACTCGTCAAGGCGTCATCCTACTGCTAAACTTTTTTTAGTTTCTGCCACTCAAAACTCAACTAATCAGCTTATCTGGTCGTGTTCCCAACACTCTGGTTTGAAGGATCCGAAGCTTTTCGGATATCATTCCTCTTCGAGCACTTCTGCTACGGTGCTACCCTAGTGCCTTTGTGAACCCCCGACGCTGAATCTCAATACATTACTAGGAATCTACTCCGTACCTAGTTTACCAAGGAATTATCTTTATTACTAATTCGAAGTAGTCTAGGTACCTAAATTATCTTTCTCTGGATCAACGGCTTGGAGCCCACAGTGTTGCAGGCATCCACTCCGAAGTGGATCACGGTTGTCGCTTACTGTGGTCTGTAGATTCCGTGCTCAAGGAAACTTTGCATCTGCACTCCCAGGCAGAGCGCACCGTGTGCGTAGGACAACATTCTCTGATTGTTGTCAATGTCATTGACTGATGGGATTTAGACTTTTGACTTGGTTGTATGCGGAGTTTCCCATCTTGAGCCTTGATCTCGAACTTTATTGCGGAGTGCTCCGTAGCTACCAGTTTCCTAGTCTAGTAACAACTACGTAGGCTCGTAGCAGCAAAGTAAACTTCGTGTACCTTTGATCCATGTGAAGAGTGACAACTTACTCCGTACATCTCTCACTAATTTCCCAGGCTGATTGAGCGAAATAAATAGATTTGCACACCGCTTCCCAGACTGCCGGGTCCCAAGGCTGTAGGCTGCAACCGTATTCCGTCACTCTCCTTGTTAGCAAGCGTTCGGCAACTAAATACTTTAAGGTACTTAGAGACCTACACTGATAGGAGGTACATGGTTGGTAAATCACGGAGTGCAGATCCTGTCGAATGAAGCTGCCCCGGTCTCTTATTGCTAATGCGTGCCAGCCAAGGGTGCTTTGCGGACAGTCAAGCGCAATCTTACCGTGCCTTCAAGTAGGATATCAGCACATTGAGTAGTCAGAGGTCCCTGCTACTGAGATAATTACTCAGTAGGAGTAGGGAGCTACGTTACTACGTAACAGTAAACCTCCCTATCCACACTTAATTAATCTGCCTGTTATCATTCACCAATCTTGACTAATCACCACTGAACTTAGTAGATATTTAGTGTCCGTCACAATCCAGATCTCCATTCAGGACTAGTCGGAAATATCTACCGCATGGTTGCTTCTCTCGTCCTCTCGGCTCGCCAACCCACAACAATCTAACCTAGTCTCAACTCCTTCAATCAATCTGTCTCATCTAGTCCGGTTACTATTTACGCGATACCGAGCTTCTTTGATGGCTACCTAAAAAGAAGATGCATGATGATTCCCGCTGTAAACGCCGTGTCGTTTCAACTTTGAACCGCATCATTGATCGAGAATAAGCGCCTTTGCCCTCAAGCAATGTGCGGAGCCCAAGACGAGTCATGAAAAGTCCTAAAGTCCTTTGCTGCAGTACAAGGGTTACTCATGACTTCTGTGGGGTCGTCAAGTTGTATTTTCTCCCAAGCTCGCATCCACATCTTCCAGTCTCAGAATCAGATCACCGGACACATACACTTAGAAGCGCCACAGGCTGGCGGATATTGAGGACAATCAATTGTTTGAAAGCCTCGACCCGTTTTGCAAATCTGGATCCCCTATCAGCTAGTTAGATAGTACAACAAGGCGTGTCGCTGTTCCACGTTTTCACTCCGTGGAATCACTGGAAGTGACTGCTGCATTGAACGAGGACCCAGTTGGTCCAAAGGAGAATTCGGCATCAAAACAGTGTTAAGATCGACGGTCAGCATGAAACGCATCCTTTCACAAAGTTTAAATTCTTCTGGCCAGCTACAGACAAGATAGCCATCTTCACCTCGCAGAAGGAGGATGCTTGCTCGAGCCACAAATGCCACGACCAATCATCTGGGTGCATCTCGAACTCGGCAACGAGTTGCCTTGCACCAGGAGGTTACATGGAAGGATGTCACCGCTCCATTAAGGAACTAACTCTTCCTGGGCATCTCCTCGACGGAAAAAATCACAGGTCGACGCGGCGGTGCTGACCGCCCCAGTCGTCTGTACGTACTGGGAAACTTGAAACGTTCCATTTGCGGCTGTGCATATGTAGCTAGATGCATTCGGCGATGGGACCTGAAACAGACCAGGTGAAGGGCTGACTCGATTCGCCTGTGCTTCCCACGATGTCTCCACCCAGGTATGACACTGCGATTAAGCTCTCTCAGCAATCGACCAATACAAATGGCAAACCTCTCAGCATTCAGTGAGATGAATTGCTTGAGCTTAACCAGCAGAGAATATGGACCAAATTGTGGACAGGATACAGCCATTGAATAGCTCATGCGCGTCACTTTGAGCACGCGAATGGGACCGGGCCTAGCGTGTCACACAACCCGTCACGGAAGCCACAAAGGGACGGTGACGCAGAATCGCACTGCTATTCCGTTGCCTGGGTCGATCTTTCGACAATTCTTTTAAGAATAGCCAATCAGTCAGTCTCCTTCCGATTTGCATTTTTTTCCCCTTTTGTGCGCTGTCGCAGAACAGAGAAGCTTTTCCCGGAGGTCGCCTAAAGACCATAGGGTAAGCAAATGATGTCGCTCTTGTTTCCAGCAGCAATGATGGCAACCCTGGCCGCAGGAGTGCTGGTTGAAACAGATTACTACTCTGTACACATCGCCGAGTTCCAACGACTCCACATTGCTCACAAGCCTGATGTCACTGACTCACTTGTGAAAAGGGAAAAGAGAAGGAGATGGAGCAGTTCTCGTCGGTCCAACGGCTGGCAGCGCTTCTTCAAGGAACTGGGGCCCGCTTGAAAAGTCAAAGATCCACGTCTGCAGGGCATCGCCATGAAGTTTCCTAAGGCTAATATTCTTAGCGCTAGCTACGCTGAACTTATATATGACCCTATGGGCCATTATTACCATGGAACAAGGGATCGACCGCGTACCCAGGCTACGTTGAGGACACTTTCAGATGAGTTTGACTCTGAAGTCGGGGCAAGGAAGGTGAAAGAGAGAAATCAGTTAAGAGACTAGGAGTTGCCCTTCGTAGACTTCCGGCCGATTAACAACTTGACGATACCCGGTAGAATTCTCGTTTATTGTGACAGTGAGAGCATTTGCGGGACAGAGGACAACAACATTCTAGCAATTCTTGGCTCCCCGTCCTGGGATCCAGCCAGCTAAGCGAAACCAAAAAACGAAGCTAGATGAGAGAGACGAAAATAAATCGAATGCTGACATCCTCTTGAATATGCTATTATTATTCTGGGTTGCATTGTCGTCTGCTGAGAATCTGATGCGCTCAGCGAAAAGCGAAAGATGTATGGAGTGGTAAAAATGCACGGGGAGAGTAGAAAAAATCAGAACTATGGAGAAAATCAAATTTTCTACCCGCAGCATCACCACCAGCCTGATATACAAACCTCTGTCAGCCACCACCTGTCAACAGAATCAGCATAACAGCCATCCGACGAGCTACTCCCCAGGCAAAACCCTAGGCTGGCTTGTCCCACTACTTGAAATCAAACTATAGATACGGAGTACCTGTCAGCAGAAGGTAGCCGATCGGCTGATTGATCTCGACTAGAAGTCGAATACGGGAAGACCGGTATCTGGCGGTTTTGGCCCAAGCATCAGTATATCTATCACGGATCAAGTATTTTCACCGTCGCTTCGTAAGCCGCCGATAAGTAGGAAGACATCCAGCCGCCGGTCTTTGTTGTACGGCGCCATGCACACACTCAAGGCCACGGCATCATCCTCGCTTAATCTGGGCCCGGGGAATTACATCTACTCGATCACTCCTGCGTCGCCTGGCTCGTTGGCGGCTATTTCATCAGATGACTCGTTGCGTGTTTTTGATGCCGCTGGTCTTGGCCGTGTAGCTGTGGTTGCGGCGAAAACGCACGGGAATGGGGGTGTGACGTCGCTGAGGAGGTATGGGTCTGGTCGGGACCAGCAGTTGCTGGTTACCGGCGGTAGGGATGGGAAGGTGAAGCTGTGGGATTTGAGAGGAGGGAAGGGCTCGGCTGTTGTTGAGATGGAGACTGGTGAGTTGGCTTCTCGGTTGGATTGGACTCGTGCTAACTGTTTGCTTTCTCGTGGATAGCCAGGAATGCACCTGTGCTGTCGGTAGCTTGCTGTGCGGAGACCAACACTGTCGTTGCTGGTACGGAGCTGGTCTCCTCGCAGGCGGTTGTTGCATTCTGGTCAGTCATGGCTGAATTGATAACATCCGCGTCTACGCAAGCTGCTAACTGCCGCGTAGGGATATTAGATCGCCGGGGGCAACCCGGCTCCAGTATGTCGAGAGCCACAACGACGACGTGACCGAGGTGCGTATGCGTCCTACCCTCACTCTGCGCCGCGCTCCTTACTGATGAGAACCAGCTTCAATACCACCCCGTCCGTAACAACATCTTACTATCCGGAAGCACAGACGGACTGGTCAACATCTACGACACCACCATCACGGACGAAGATGACGCCCTGGTGCAGGTCATCAACCACGGCTCCGTCCATCACGCCGGGTTCCTGGGCGAGCGCACCATCTTCGCCCTCAGCCATGACGAGGACTTCTCCGTTCATCCGGCCACAGATCCCGACGAGCAGGCTGAGGAGCCCAAGCCCATTCAGTTCGGTGATCTAAGGCAACCTCTCAACTGCGAGTATATCGCCCAGCTCTGCACCGGCAGCCAGTCGGCGTATATCGCTGCCGGACATAAACTGTATTTCCGCATCTTCTTGTTCATCTCTGTTGTCGGTCATATCTGACAGCTTCCCCTGCAGTGATAAACGCCTAGACCTCGTCCCTCTCATCCCCGATCCGTGGCGGTTCGACCAGGCCAACCTCTGGCGTCTTCCGGGCGCACACGGCGAGGAGGTCGTCCGTTCAATCTACGTCGACGAGCAGGTATGTTTCCTCTACCTGTGCTTCTGAATTAACCCAGTCTCACCATTCTTGCAGAGTCAATCCGTATTCACCGGAGGAGAGGATGGGTTCATTCGCGCCTGGAAGCCAATGGATGAGGATGAAACTCTGCCCGAACATTCTCCGTTCAAGCCTTCACGACCAACGGAGAAGAAACGTGAAAAGGAGCGGTTTAAGCCATATTGATTGTGGCTGGAGGAACCAGTATATTGTAATTATATTTCATGAATCCTTCGAATCCTTGTCTATATTGCAGTCGTAGGCTCTGGTCTTCGTATCGCCAAAAGGCCCCTGTAGCCTGCGATTATATATCTGAAAGAGTCGACAACCCAACCACAACCAACAACTACATCGCGCAACGCAACCACATTACTGTATCATAGATAGGCTCACCCTAAATACCTGTTATATTATATAATAAATTGTTAGACCTGTAAGAAATCCAACCAAAAAACAAGAAAGCTGACGAAAATGCTGAGCAGCAAAAAAAAAAAAAAGTAGTCGCGCCCGGGATCGAACCGGGAACCTTCTCGGAATCCTAGAAGATGCTCACAATTGACTGTGAACGAGAAATCATAACCATTAGACCACGCGACTGTTTGTTGGAATACTAAGCGAACAAATATTTATGTACTGAAACAGCTAAATCACTAGATAGGAAACATCAGTCTTGCCCCATCTCCGCATCCAAACTTTTTTTTCTTCCCTTCTTTGTGATCTCAACCAATCTCTGCGACGGCGTGGGCGGTACCTTTCTTCACCTAATTTATTATAGCCTTCCTCTCACTCCTCATCCTCAAAGGCGGCTATACCCCTCCCCATCCGCCCTTCCAGGTTATTCCCTACCTGTTTTCTAAGCGCCGTTACGCAGAAGGCAACCTCGATGCCCGCCAGAGCCGTCCATCTAAACTAACCGCCCTCCAACCGCCTCACCAACTCCATCACACCTCTTTCCTCGACCCATATTACCCCAAAAAAAGGTCCAACGAAAATGGACGCCCAAGCCTACCTCATCCGTCACGGCTGGTCCGGACCAGGCAACCCACTGAACCCCGACCGCCCACAGGGCGGCGGTCTTGGTCTCACGAGGCCCATCCTCGTCGCACGGCGCTCCGGCAACCAGGGCGTGGGCAAGAAGACGACCAAGGATCCCACGAATCAGTGGTGGCTGCGTGGGTTTGAGGATGCGCTGAAGGGTGTGGGGCAGGAGAGTGTCGGCGGTGCCCCGGCAGTACCGAAGCCGAATGCCTTGACGAGTGAATTGTATCGGTTTTTTGTGAGGGGGGAGGTCGTCCCTGGTACGATCGACGGGAAGAAGAAGGTGGTGGTTGTGGAAGAAATTAAGAAAAAGAGGAAAAGGAAGGAGGAGAGCGAGGGCGAGGATGCCGAAGAGGCAAAGGCGCGGCGGAAGGAGGAGAAGCGCAAGAAGCGGAAGATGAAGGAGGTTTCGTCCAGTGTAGATGGGACGACTTCTGAGGGCCGAACCGAGAGCAAAGAGGAGCGCCGACGGAGAAAGGAGGAGAAGAAGAGGAGGAAACAAGAGAAGGAGCTGAGGAAGCAGGAGGAGAGCAGTGCCGGGGAGGACGAGAAGGCCGCTCGCAAGGAGAAGAAGAAAAAGGAAAAGAAGAAGACGGAAAAACGGGAAGACGAATATCCTACTCCTCCATCTACGGAACCAGAGCAGACGGAGTCCAGCAGTGGACGGGACGAATCCTCAGACACAACGGCAAAGCCGAAGAAGAGGAGGGAGAAGGAGGACTTGAAGCAGGACAAAAAGGACAGGAAAAAAGGCTCCTCGTCCGAGGACAGCACGAAAAAGAAGTCAAAGAAGTCAAAAAAGTCGACAAACGAGTGATATTGGCCCGTTCTTCATGTACAGATAGATTTTCGTTCATCAGATCAGATACCCATTTGGCACTGCTACGCCGACTTGATAAAAGTTCATATACCATGTCATTCTTTCACTCATCGTCTCGTACCTCGTAAGATCAAGCCTCGGGCAATTTACCTGGCTTGCCCGAGAGAATCCAAGGCCTTCTCTCCCAGAACTCATCCTTGATAATGTCGACATGATCAACGACCACCTGTGCCTTCCGTCGCAATTTACGCAGTTTGTCTTGCTGCGACTTTGAAGTTTTGCTTTCGTCCACCGGTGCCTCATCATCATCCCCGTGCCTTGATCTGGACTCAGGCTTGGGATCTTCTAATTGATACTGCAAAAATCCACGTTAGACGGCGACCATAAAAGGTATTCCTGGTCGCTTACCTGACGATAAAGAACACTCCCTTTCTTAAACATCTCATCCTCGTTGTTATAATTGATCCCGAACCTCTTGAAGAGGATCTCATTCTTGTCGGATGAGACAGTCCCCTGGCACGGCTCGTCAGCTCATGGGGAGTAAACCATAATCCAGAAGCGCACACACCTGTAACTCCCTCTCAGCATCCGTGTTACTCATCCCTCCCTGCTGAACCATCGTCCAAAACGTCGTATTGTAGAGATTATTGATGTGGCCTGGTTCAATCAGTACATGACAAAGGAGCACAAATCAAGGAGATCAAACGCACAATCCACCTGTCTCCAACTCATATAATCGCGTAAGATCCTAGTGGTCGGGTACAGGACCGCCCGTCCGTCGAACGAGGGCAGGTACGGAGGCTGCAGAGGCGTAGATGGGAAATACGTCCCCCATTGATAGATATAATGTGCTGTAAACGTGGACACAATCGTCGTGACGAGCTTACTATCCCCCAAGATTAGTGTTTGCAGACACAGAAGGTCAAGGCGAGGACAAAAATGCTCGCCCTGGCTGTGGCTGACTCACGCGCTGCGTCGCTCGAATAACTGACAGCTGGGGTGAAAAACAAAGCTGCGCATGGTCAGAGTCATAAATATTGTAGACCTAGCCGGCGAGAGACAGACCTATATTCATCGCTCACGCCATAGGCGATGCATAGGTCTGGGAGTTCTTTCATGACCTCCACGGCGGCGGCGTTCATCAAGTCCAGCGCGCGGCGGTCGTTGGGTTTGATGAATCCATAGCGATCGGAAAGTCTATGTCATCTGTTATTCAGGGCACATTTGGGGAAATAAAGTAGATTGGGAGGCAAATACTTGTGAAATCCTCTGCCGTCGATGCGAATCACGATCCAGGTATTCGGCAGCAAGACGTCGGGCTGCTCAAATGATTTGACGTACTCGTATCTGGTTACGCATGTCAGCTATTGCTCTATGCTCGACGAGAATCGAAGCTAAATACTTTGAGTTCGCCATATCAATAAAATGTCTTGCGTATCCTTCGTTGCGAGGATACCGTAGTCTTGTTCAGTTTCGCTGGCCGGTCAAATGAAATCTCTCTGTTGTGCGGGAAGCCGTGCGGACTACGAGAATTGAGCCATGATTGCTGCCAGATCCATCTAAGGCATTCAAAACCCCATACTACAATTACTGAGAACTTTCTGAGTATTACATTGACTACTTTGACCATTCTGATGAGGTATGCGGTGAGATGGTATCTTTCACCCACCAACTATACGATTCTCGTATATGAAAGTGCTATATACCAATGAATGACTTTAGACATAATGATAGTAAGAAAACCTTGGAAAAAGGAGCAGAAAGACTCGCGGGCCCTCGCCAAGCACATGCAAAGAAAACAATCAAAGAATGCATAGAAATGCAAAGGTGCAGCACCAACATGCAGTTTGTGTAATCCGTTATCGAGAGGAGTGAAACATCAAAAATAGAGGATCACAAAAGACTGAGCCCAGCTCAAGGTTCGTCTTCCTCGGCGATTTCATCATCGCCAGTCTCGCTGGCCAATTCGCTAGGCCTTTCACTTGTCTCACTGGCAGCTTTGTCGGACTTTTTAGACTTGCGGCTAAAAAATCCCAGACTGCTTCTAGTCGATTTGTCCGCAGACGGAGCGCTGGAGACAGTACTGTCGATACTTTTGGCAAGTTGCGCCTCGCTGCTCGCATCCTCATCGATGTCACCCTGGGACGAATCGCCTTTCTTCGAAAACAAGCCAGAGCGTTCCTTCCACGAACCGAATTTGCTCGAGCTGCCCTTTCGAGTGATCTTTCGGATAAACGATTCCTTCGAGTTGCTGTTGTCCGCAGAGGTGGCCGATGGCATGCGCTCCAGCGATTCATAGGAATCACCAGTGAAGATGGACAAGGACCGGGAACGCGAATCCCTCGAGACGCGCGGCTCCGACGGAGAGCCCTCCATGGGAAAATCGAAAGGCATATCGGATTCTCTCTCCTTTCCTTTCTCTTTATCCTTATCCTTGTCGGACTTTCTGCTGAAGATGGTCTTGAACGTGGGTGCTGCCGGATTCAATTTTGGAGTTACTGGGCGGTGGGAGGACGAAGGCCGCGTGCCAATCGGGGCTTGCAACGGCCGACCTTGGCGTTCAAAAGACTCTTGAGGAAAATCAGGCTCACCAGTCAGCCCAAGGGGCAAGTGACCAGACGACCCGTACGTAATAGATGGCCGACGGGATTGAGCCCTGGACCAGCTGGACGGAGAGGCCCAATCGAATCCAAGTACACTGCGATGGCCAGGCTTTTCAGCAGAAGGCCATCCGAAAGGACGATTATCCGTCGAGGGATGAGGAAGCTGATTATCGAAGGAAAAGGTGGACGAAGGTCTCGGGGACAGGGAACCTCGACGGACAGTACCTAGAATCGATGCTGGATCGATTGGATCGTGACGAGGACTGAACTGATTATAACCTGTGCCGAGATCAGAGGGGTCGCTTGACTTCAGCAGACTGCCACTTCCTCCGCCGAAACCGAATCGGCTGGGGGAGAAGATACTGGAGAATCCTGCTCGTCGCGACGGCAGGTGGTCAGAAGAGCTGTCTGCGGTGACAGCGGCAGTATTACTCCTGGGAAGCAACGATATCGGGTTGGCCCAGTTGCCTGTATGACTCAACCTCCGACGCCTTGAACCGATGGGGTCCATTTCGTCCAGATTCCTTGGGAAAGATTGGCTCTGTCCGGCTTTCAGGGTGCCCAGCAAAGGCGGCTCATCTGCCAGCGTTTTACCACGAGGACGATGGAAGCCAAATAATCCCGATAGCCTTCTTGTCGCGCTTTTAGGAGCATCACTAGATTCATCAACATGTGCAGACTGGGGCTCGGTCTCTTTGCGATCCTCATGGGGGCTGGCGAAAATGCTAGCTGGCTTGCTTCCCACTGCAGACTCAGGAGACGATGGGCCGCGCGAATAGCTTTCCCGCTGCGATTCGGACAATTCCAGGTTTGAGAAACGAGGTCGAACTATTGGACGCGGGGGTTCTGGAGATTCTTCGTCCCCTAAAAGATCAGACGGGAGCAGGGCATCGGCCCGTGGACTCATTTGAGGATTACCGAAGGAAAGATCGAGATCCCCCCGCATCGGATCCTGTTGTTCGGAGAGGCCCGGAAGAGTCATGCCATTATTGATATTGAAGAAGGCAGGAGTGGGAGCAAATGTAGGCGAGTTGGTGGAAGGGGGATTGAAGTTGACACCGCCAGGGAAAGACGGTTCCAAGCCGGGGAAATTCATCGGCGAGGAGACGTTGCTATTGAGAGAGCTGCGATGGCGGCGCGGACGGATAGTCGCAGTATTTGACATGTCCAGGTCGAGAGCTGGCAGAGTGAACGGTCCACTGCTGCCCGAACGCTGGGTAGTCAACCACTTGAGGCGCTCCTGGGCCTCTTGGTACTGTTGCTGAGCCTTCTTTTAAGTTAGTAACCCTCGATCTGGAAACGCTAGTACGTTGTCTGGGTACCCACCTGTGCGTGCAGATTCACTAAAGTAGCATATCGCGCATTGAGATTGCTCAACTTGACCTCCCACTGCCTTGCTCGCTCGTTGTCGATGCGGTCCAACTCCTTGCCATCCTCGCTGTCTCCCCCCTGCTGACGCTTTCGCTCCTCCTCAAGCTTCTTGACACGTCCACCTTTGTCCTGAATCTCATCATCGAGAACTTTCATCTCTGCCTGCTCCTTGGCAATCTTCTCCCGAACCTCGTCTGCACTCTTTTTCCCTTCCTCTTCCATGCGAGCCTTCTCCTCGTTGATATGCGCAACCTCAGCAGTCATCCGCTCCATCTCCTCACGCCAACGAATAATGTCCTCCTTGCGCTTCTTCCGTTCAGTCTCTTTCTGCTGCAGAAGCCTCTCTCGCTTGGCCTTTTCATTTTGGACGGTTCGATTGACGCTCTCCAGCTTGTTAACGTGCTTCTTCAAATCGCCACTGGCCTCGTCCTTCTCCTTCACACGCTTTCTCAGCTGGTCACGCTGTCTCTCAAGCTCTTTCAAAAGCGCGATATGCTCCTCCTCTTCCTCCACCGCGTGCTTCTCCACATTTTCATTCTCATGCTGCAGAGTTTTCAGCCTGTCGGCCAACCGTTCCAAGGTCTCACTGCTGTCACTATGCACTGCGTGTTTCTGAATCTCCTCTGGATGGCCATGTGGAAGGTCCACGCCGCTAGCCGCAGGAGATTGTTTCCGTCCAGCAGATGAACGTTTCCCTTGCAGTTGTCCTCCACTAAGCTCGCGAGCCATCAGAGGGGCGGCAGGAGCAACCAACCCGGCCGTGGGTCGTGGGATTGAGGCCCGAATCGTCGGGCTACCAACCGGGGCATTTTGCTGAGATTGCGACAACGGAAGAGGCTTCGTCCGAACATGAATAACCGCGCTGGGTGTCTGAAAATTTGCCGCACTGACGGAAAAGACGCAAATGTGATATATACTTCCTGGGGCCAAATTTGAGATTTCTACCGCAGTCTCCGCTCGTTTCGATTCACCAACTATTAAGATGGTTAGTGTTGAAGTAACTTGCAAAAGTAGTACGCAAAAATAAGCTACCTTTGGAGCCGTTGACTTGAATAATGTGCTTGTGAATGGAATTGTGAAAGTCGGGCAGTTTCCAGGCGATGCGAACCTCACGGGCGGTAATTTCCTCTAGAGTAACCTCTGGTGGCGGAGGGATGTCCAGGCCGAGCTTTTCGACCAGTACTTCATTCGGAGTCTGACAAACTTGCCATGCACGATATAGTAACCTTCACTGATTTTAGATAGAAGATCATTTTAAAGGCGAAACAAATATTCGAACTCACCATATAAGCGCCCATAGAATCGCGACGGCCAGAAAGAGAGCCATAACGCCTCGTACCCTCACTGGGGGAACCACGCTGGGGTAGGCGTCAAAGGAAAGATATAACGGCTCATACATCACAGCATTGGGCACCCATGGAGAGCGGGCGTAATGGAAGGGGAAAAGAGGGGTGAAGAAGGAATTGACAGGCGAGAAAATCCTCAGCCTCTTCTTTCGCCCTCTTGCGAACCTAACTCTCCACCACAGTTGTTAAATGCGACTCTTTCTCGATAGATCAGCTTGAGAGGAAATGGCACTAACCAGATAAGGGAGGTCATGTGAGGTCAGCTGACTGATCTTCAGCTTAGTCAACAACGCTTTTCGTCGTTGCGAACGAAAAGTCTTGGCACGAAGATACTTCCTGAAATACCTCTCCCCTAGGCAAAAAGTAGTGCAACACGTGATTAAAATCAACTTTCAAAAACATCAACTATTTACAAGATGAAATATCAACAAAACTAACTAATATAGAATGCCATATAATTTATATATGAAATCTAATCATCATAGTTATTACCTCCTTTCAATCTAATAACCTGTTTAATTCGATATGGCATCTTTGCAATCTACTTCTGGATTGTCTCCCGCGGGACCTCCTCCCAACCTTTTAAGAAGCATTTCTCCAATTCTTCTTTTGAAAGGGCCCAATATCTTTGTTTCATGAAGCCCCAGAGTGATTCAATGCAATTCAGATCTGGACTATTAGGAGGCCATATCATTTTATACTTTGYTAGGCCTGACCGCTGCCAGRTRTAATCAAGATGGCCTGCWGAGTGTCCAGGAGCATTATCTKCCTGGATGTAAATATRGTCATATTGCTGAAGTAGCTCCCTAGCATAAGGGAATAGCTTCTTCTCTAAGATTTCTTGCTCATAGCGCCACCAGTCAATGCCTTTGACATCAATTTTTCGCTGAAATAGCTTTGGTCTGAACGTTCGCTTCCTGCCCTATCAAGAATAGACAGATATTAGTCACTTTCCATAGATTTTTATATRGTAAGGTACCTTAGCTGGTCGGCCATCTCTGGATATGGATTAAAGAATCTGTGCGCCTTCAAATACTTCCTTTTGCTGAGGTATAACCTCTGTATTCCATGCAGAAATCTTAGAGGCAGCCTCCTGTCTCTGTTCTTCAGTCTCTGGACGGAATACATGGCAGGGACCTTTTAAATTATATGTAATAGCCCCCCAAAACATGAAATCTGAATAATTCTTGTGTCTTTGCTGGACAGTATCTGGATGGTAAGATCGTTTCTCTTGTTTAGTTGCAGATACACATTAATGGCCTCATATACCAGTTGCAACAGCTGTTTCATCAGTCCAGATCACCTTTACCCAATCATCTAATATCCAGTGTTCATGGTCTTTGGCCCATTCTAATCTCTTCTGCTTTTACTCTTCAGTAAGGCGAGGCTTCCGGGAATACCGCCATCTAGGGATGTCCAGAGAGGTTAGTAAGTATCTAATCAAGATCTTAAAGATAATAAGGGTTTACCTATTAATTCCAAGCTCATATACAGCATTTTGGAACGTGCGTTGACATCCAGGGAGGTCTGGATTCACACTTTTAACCTCTGTATAAATTCACTTCCATTCCAGGTTTCGTGTACGGCGATTATCTCGAATCGAACAGCCAATATAACGTTTATCTCGGTTAGATAGAACCTTAGGCCTTCCTGAACAAGCCTCATCTTGAAGAAATTCTTCTTTTATAGGCTGATTTGGCTTCCATCCACGCTCTTTGGCGCGTTTCCGTACGCGGGAGATAGTAGATTTTGAGAGGCCTGATTGCGCAGCTGCAGTACTAAGAGAATTGCCTGAAATTTCAGTCAGGGCAAGTGCAGAGGCCCTTTTTGCTATATCTCTCTCCCTTTTCATTTTGTCCAAAGATTAATAGGGTGGTAATAGAAAATAGGTAGGAATCTAATGTTTTGGTGGACGCGTTTGGAAACTAAATCACGTGTTGCACTACTTTTTGCCAAGGGGAGAGGTAGTAACGCTCAGAGTTGCATCCAAATCAGGCTTAGTGCACAGCCCGGCCGCCCTCCGGAAGACCTAAACCGAGGAAGTTTCCTTTCTGAGCTACCTGCTGCAGCCTTAGGAATCCATTTCCATTCGTCCCGTGACATGTGACTTGGCCCGCTCGTTGGGCGGTTGAGAGCGCCCGCGGCAATCATCATCGAAAGGTGCTCCCCAACAGCCAACACTCTATCATCAGAAATCGTTTATCTGAGTACTACCTGCATTTTGACATTCTCCGGCTCTTCTTCTCTTTGTCTCTATTGTCCCTTTGTTTAGAGGTCTATTTGTTGTCCAAATATAGATCTCTTTGGTTCCTTGTATTTTAACCCGGTCTTGTTTCAGACGGCATTACATTCGTTTTCCCCAGCTGGGTATGTCGCAGCTGGAGCGCTCTCTCGGGCATTGTCACATGGGTCATATGTAGGCGGCAATTCCTGCCAACTTCCCGACTGCTGACATAGTCTCAAACCTTTACACATACCTCTCCTGCCTTATCTGTCTCAATCGTCGGTCTTCACTATCTCTACTCGCTTCCCTGGTCCATCCGAATTAATTGAAGGCGCATCCGACGTCGCCATCTCGGGATGCAGTACGTCCGAAGTATCAGCGGTTCGGTGTCGAAGACATGGAATTCTATCAATCCAGCCACCTTGAGTGGGGCCATTGATGTCATCGTCATTGAGCAGGAAGATGGTAGCTCCTCATACATGGTGGTCTCTATAACCCTTGTTGTTGCTAACGCTTGTTGATAGGAACACTCGCCTGTTCACCGTTCCATGTTCGATTCGGCAAGTTCTCTTTGCTTCGTCCATATGAGAAGAAGGTACCGATATGCTGTCCCGGATAATTTTTTCGGACCTGACTGAGCTGGATTTTTCTTCAGGTGGAATTTCAAGTCAATGGAGTCAAGCAGGACTATGCAATGAAGCTCGGGGAGGGCGGAGAGGCCTTTTTCGTCTTTGAAACATCAGACGAGATCCCCGCTTCACTGCAGACGTCACCGCTAGTATCGCCGGCGGCCAGTCCGAGAACGCGGAGCGAGGAAGATCTTCCGTCTTCTCTTCAAGAACCGGAGTTTCTGGACCTCGAAAAGTCCTCTGCCACTACTCATTCGCAGGATGCGAAAGCAGGCTCGAACATACCTCTGTTTTCGAGGGGGGCGAGGGCATCTAGTGATTTGGGTACGGTGGCGCTTCCTTTGGTCAGGATCAGAGGCTCTTGCTCATATGAATATAGGTGCCATGACTCCTCTGTCACAGTCCCCGGATGAGACCAGCGTCAGCCGACTCCGCCGCGGCTCCTTGGGCAACGCACTAGGCTTTGACCGGGCAGCGTCTGAGCCTGTAATAACGGCGAAGAAAAGTACCGGCACTTCCAGTGAGGGTGATTTTGCAGTTGGATCGCAGCCTCCCAGTCCCACAATCAGCGACACTGAGCGTCCTCGGAGTCCTCCTTTACTGACGCCTCAGGAAGCCGTTTCGCGTGCACTTTCTCTTTCAAAGAAACTGTCGTCATCCAACATTCCAACTCGGGTCAATGAGACTGGCGATCTCATGCTCGACATGACCGGTTACAAAAGCAACGAGGAGGACGCTCTACGTGCCGAACTCATTGCCCGTAAGATATTGGCGGAGGAACTGGAGGGAAGCTACGACATTGGAGGCCTCATCGGAGCGGACGAGCATGGAAACTTGTGGATCTACAGTAGCGAGGAGGCAAAGGAGGCTGCCAACCGCCGGGCGACTTTTAATTCGATGCGACCGCACTCGGCCATGAGTGAAAACGCCATCTCTGACCCTGGGTACCACAGCGACACTGATCACCCTATGTCCGAGTCGCCGTATCCGACTCGGCATCAACGTGCGAAATCCGATGTGCAGCCAGGCTTCCCTACCCCTCCGCAGTCACCTACTCAAGACTCGACTCCAGCAGAGCCAACCCGGAATTATGCCAAGACTCTTCGCCTGACGAGTGACCAGCTCAAGGCACTGAATCTGAAGCCCGGTGCCAATCCAATGTCGTTCAGTGTGAACAGAGCTACCTGTACTGCGACTATGTACCTCTGGAATAGCACCACGCCCATTGTCATTTCCGATATCGATGGGACGATCACCAAGTTAGTTTTCATGTTGTGTATTATATGTCGACCTACTGACGAAGTGCAGGTCCGATGCTTTAGGGCATGTGTTGAACATGATCGGTCGCGATTGGACTCATGCTGGTGTGGCAAAGCTCTACACCGACATAGTCAACAACGGCTACAATATCATGTATCTCACAAGTCGATCTGTGGGTCAGGCGGATACCACCCGTACCTACATTTACGGAGTCTGCCAAGATGGCTACAGGTTACCCAAGGGTCCTGTCATTATGAGCCCTGACCGGACGATTGCGGCGCTCAGGCGGGAAATCTACCTGAGGAAACCGGAGGTGTTCAAGATGGCTTGCTTGCGGGACATTTTGGGTCTTTTCAACGGAAAAGAGAATCCATTCTACGCTGGCTTCGGCAACCGTCTGACAGACGCGCTGAGTTACCGGTCGGTCAACATTCCGTCGAGCAGGATCTTCACCATCAACTCGAACGCGGAGGTATCCTTAGATCTTCTCAGCCTGAATAAGTACAAGAGCAGTTACGTGACCATGCAGGAACTGCTAGATCATTTCTTCCCACCTGTCAGCCTGCTGGTCCAACCTGGGGGTGAAAATTGTACTGATTTCACCTACTGGAGGGAGGCTCCTCAGGATGTTGAGATATTCTCGGATACGGACAGTGATGAAGAAGACGAAGAGGACGAAGACGAGCTAGACGAGGAGATAGAAGATGAGGAAGAGGAGGAGTATGAGGGCGATTTGACCGAAGAAGATGGCAGTGAAATTGATGAGGAGGTTGACGAACTCGGGGAGAGTTACATCTCACAGGAGTCGATGGATGGACTTCGGTTGTCTGACTCCATCGCCTCTTTGGCCGCAGACGGTTCAACCCAGGTCGAGGAAGATGAAGATGAAAATGCGGAGGATATGGCCGCTGAGACCAAGCTGCCGAATTCGAGGCTTTCCCCAACGTCTGAACCCGTTCGGTCTGCTTGAGCAAACCGAGACAGAGCGTGAAAAAGTATTAGATCACGACGTCTTTTTTTGGATATAACTGAAGCTGATTCGCATGGCATTGCAACGCTCAATGATACCCAACCCTCGCGTCAACTGTGGTGACAGCGTCGGCCCACGTTATCAGAAGCCTCTCTGACATCTTGATTCCTTTGCATAAGCGGCGTTGAATAATTGCATACTGATTGTTGCCTCGTTCTTGTTTGTGTTGTGAGCATTGTTGGACGACATGGCGCTATAGAGAGTCTCAGCGAGTTACATGGTTTGATTCAGAGTCGTGTCATGAATTATTTGCACCTGGATGGAGTGTTAGAATACAAGCACATATTGTTATATAATCAAGTTGTTTCTGTCCTGTCGAATGTGCCGTCGCTGTTGGGCTGTCATGAGCATTGGATAGAGTAGAGCCCATGCGATGACTTCCGAATATGGCATAGCGCCGCATGGGAGAGTCGAAGAAATCCAGCTCCTCGATCAACTCCGACAGACAGTAAAACCTCAGTCCAATAGTAACACAACCACGCTCTGTCGTTAAATCGCAGTCTTTTACTCGTCGGATTTATGCTACGCTGCTGTTCTCTAGCTGTGGATGCTGCTTTGAGACGTGCCACCAATAGTTGGATCTCGGATACTTCCGATCACACCTCTCTCTGACCGCACCTCACCTCACTTCCTCATCCACCTATCCACCATCAAACACATACAATGGCATCGCCAGCTCAAGCGCAGGCTCCGGCCTCGACATCGAATCAACCTCTCACACCGCCAGCCGAACCCTCATCAACAAATAACACAGCCAACGCCAGCGCCTCCTCGCAACCACCTCACCCTACGGGAACCTCCACCACCACCGCACCCAACACAGCCATGCCCTCCACAACTCCTCAGCCCACCCAGATCCCATCAACGTCACTCACAGACAGCGGTAAATCACGGCGCCCACGCGACGTCCGCCTAATCCACATGCTCCTCGCCTCCCTCGGCGTAACCGCATACCAGGAACGGGTCCCGCTCCAACTCCTCGATTTCGCGTACCGCTACACCTCAGGCGTTCTCCAGGACGCGGTCCACCTCGCGACGGAGGGCTACGCAGGCGCCACAGATGCAGGGCCAAGCAGCAGTCGCGGCCCCGTGGAAGTCAACAGCGTGACGCTCCCTGCGCTACGGCTGAGCATCGCGTCGCGCCTCCATTACCAGTTCCAGACGGGGCTGCAGAAGGAGTTTCTGATGGATGTTGCGTCTGAGCGGAATCGCGTGGCGTTGCCGGGTGCGTCGAGGGGGTTTGACACTGCGGGCCAGACGAAGAGTGTGTCTGCGGCCAATCAGAGTGTTATCATGGGGGGAATGCGGTTGCCGCCGGAGCGGTTCTGCCTGACTGGCACGGGGTGGAATATGAAGGATGAGTGGGAGAGTGAAGGAGAGGAGGAGGTCGAGGATGCGGCGGCGCAGGCGGGCGTCGGTCAGGATCAAGAGAGGAACGCTGGTGGTGGGTTGGCGGGTGTCAAGGAGGAGGGGGATGAGGATATGGGCGAGGGTGACGATGAGGATGGCAAGATGGAGGATATATTTGGGGAGGATACGGCCATGGGGGACGGTGAAGGAGATGAGGACAAGGCTATGACGGATGTTTAGTTCCCTTTAGACGGAGTTGGGCGCATGGGTTTGTGTGGAGATTCCATGATCTTGCATTGGTCAAGGTTTGATGCCGGCGCTCTCAAACAAGCAAAGCAAAGCGTATTGTACATAATGAAATGACTGTCTTCCCAATCAATCATGCAATGATAACGATGTAAATCAACAATCAACGCCACCCTATGTACGCCAACGATTCCACCGTCCACTGTCAGATATCATCTCACCTCTTCTTCCGCGCCTCATCCTCCCTCATCATCCGAATCACCTCCTCCCTCCTCTTCTCAACCCGAGCCATCTCCTCCTCCCTCGCCCGCCGCCTCTCCTCATGCGTCGCGAACCACTCCTCCCGCGCCCGGTCCTCCTCTTCCGGCTTCGCATGCGCAACCATACACGAGTTCATCGCCAGCCGCTGAGCCCGACATACCCAGGTGGCCGTTACCGTCCGATTAACAGCGCATTCCGCGAACGCTGTAGTGTAGCTAGCCGTTAGCACCTCTCTTCTTGCCTTCCAGACCACTTGGGGAACGGGGAGGACACACCTTTAATCTCCGGGGCGCAATGCGCTCGTACGCGTTTGTAGTAGAGCTGCTTGACTTCGGCTTCCTGGGAGGCGGATAGAGGGAGGGGATTGTGGAGGTTGTATTTTCGTGTGCTTTGGGGTTGTGGTGTGGGTGTTGACGGTGTCGTTGATGCTGTGGATGCGGCTGCTGATGCTGGTGTTGAAGCCATGATGTTCTGATGCTGATGCTGAGCCGATGCCTCGGAGGCCAGGCCTGACACGTAGTTTTGGATAGTATCAAGATAATCGAGCTAGAAATCCCCGACCGTGTAGAACAAGATCAATTGAGTAGAGCTAGTGTGAATTGATGAGTAAAATGCGAGGTGCGGAGTCGTGATCGTAGTTGTAGTCGTAGGCTGCACAAGACGTCGTCCGATGAGGTTTACCGCCAAGCCGAATTTTTTCAAACTCCGCAGTTCATCTCCAGACACCAACACCTTCCTTCAACCATTTCTATCCCACACCCTTCGAGTTGGTTAATATAATATAACCAGAAAAGACGAATTCTACAAAATGTCCTCCATGCGCAACGCCGTCCAAAGACGGCAACACCGCGAACGAGGCCAGCTCGAAGGCCGCGAAAAATGGGGTATCCTCGAAAAGCACAAAGTACACTCACGCCCTTCCCTTCTCCTTCAACCAGTCTACTTGAAACAGAGGTACTAACTAGATGAAAGGACTACTCCCTCCGCGCCAAAGACTACAACGCCAAAAAGGCCAAGATCAAGCGCCTCCAGGAACTCGCCGCCAGCCGCAACCCGGATGAATTCGCCTTCGGCATGATGTCCGCGCACTCGCAGACAAAAGGCAAGCACGGCTCTGCGGCGCGCGACTCGGCTGCGAAGCGGGGGCTGAGCCACGATGCGATCAAGTTGCTCAAGACGCAGGATGCGGCGTACCTGCGGACGACGGGGGAGCGGCTACGACGGGAGATCGAGAAGGTGGAGCAGGAGGTGAGGTTACAGGAGGGGATCCAGGAGGCTCTTGGGGAGAAGAAAGATGAGAGCGAGGAGGAGGAGGAGGACATGGAGGAAGACGATGATGACTTTGATTTTGATTTCGGGCCGAAAGAGAAGCGCGGGCAAAAGAGGGCGAGGAAGTTGGTCTTTGCGGATGATCGGCGGGAGCAGCGGACGTTGAAGAAACGGCGACTCCAAGAAGATCAAGAGGATGAGGATGAGGACGAAGAACAGTCGTTTGGTGAATTGCAGAAGAAGCAGCAGCAGCAGCAGAAAAAGACGCAGAAACAGCTCGAGGCGGAGAGGCAGGCTCTCGTCGAGGCTCGTCGAGTCCGCAAGATGAAGAAGAGAGCTGCCGAGGCTCGTGAGAACAAGCTCAAGGCGCTGCGGAAGCAGTATGCCGATATCACTGCCGCCGAGCGCGAGCTGGACTGGCAGCGAGGGCGGATGGATAATTCGGTTGGGGGGACGAACAAGGATGGCATCAAGTGGAAGATCCGCGAGCGCAAGAAGTGATCTTGGACTGGTCTTTCTTATTGCAGCCCATGTCGATGATACCTTTTTTCCTTTTTTCCTGCATTGGGCTGGAGGTCAAGCAAAAGTTCTTTCATCTGGTTTATAATAGAGGCTTGAGGAGTTGAGGCGCATATACTGTGAATACCATTTCATCTTATGTCTTGGAACTTGTTAACAAAGAAAACCAGAGAATTTTATTCCGTCAAGCTCATGTCTAACTGCATCTCGTCGTAAAGTCCGAAAAACTAAGTTCATCACGCCTGGTTCTTCTTCATCGCCGCGACTCTGATGCTCACGGCCCGCTTGTGCGCGTCCAATCCCTCCACGGCAGCCAACTGCTCCACCGTGCGAGACAATCCCAGCAATCCCTCTGCCGTCAAGTTCGAGCTAGTGATGTGCTTGAGGAACGAGCCCAGGTTGACTCCAGAGTACTGCTTGGCGTAGCCGTAGGTTGCTGTTGTTGTTAGCTTGACTCCTGCATGGGAAGTGACGAAACTTACGCAAAGAGTGGTTGACACCCGCAGAGTAATCACCAACACTCTCAGGGGTCCACTGTCCGATGAAAACACTGCCGGCATTGACGACCTTCTCCACCACCGACTCCGCGTTCTGGATCTGCAGAATCAGATGCTCCGGCGCGTATTCGTTGCTGAGCGCCATCGCCTCATCAATGTCACGCACCACGAAGGTGACCGAGTGGGCCAGAGATCCTCGGACAATGTCCATGCGGGGCAGGGCCCGCGCCTGGGCATCAACCTCGTCCTCGATGGCAAGGAGTTGGCTCTCGTTCAAGTCGACGGCGATCAGGATCACCTGCGAATCAACGCCGTGTTCAGCCTGGCTCAGCAGATCCGAAGCCACAAAGGCCGGGTTGGCGTCCTTGTCGGCGATGACCAACACCTCGCTAGGCCCGGCGGGCATATCGATGCTGACACCGGCCGAGGTGTCGTTGGAAACCAGCATCTTGGCCGCCGTCACGAACTGGTTACCGGGGCCCAAGATCTTGTCCACCTTGCTAATGCTCTCCGTTCCGTAAGCCATGGCGGCCACGGCCTGCGCACCACCGGCCAGGACAATGCTCTCGGCTCCCACTTTGTGGGCGACGTAGACAATCTCAGGGGAGATACTGCCGTCGGCCCGAGGAGGAGAAGCCAAGACAATCTTCTGGCAGCCGGCAACCATGGCAGGGACACCAAGCATCATGGCCGTGGACGGCAGCACGGCAGTGCCACCGGGGACGTACAGACCAACACGCTCGATGGGGCGAGAAAAGCGGGAGCAAACGACACCAGGCATCGTCTCCACCTGGAGGACGTCATTGCTACCCTTCTGGGCGGAGTGGAATTTCTTGATATTGGCAATGCTGACATCGATGGCTTCCTGGGTCTCAGGCGACAGCTTCATCAGTTCCGGGGGGAAGGGGGCGCGGATTACGGAAGACGTCAGGGAAGTCGCCTTTTCAAACTTGTGGGTGTACTTGAGCACAGCTGCATCGCCGCCCTCCCGCACATCCTGGACAATGGGCCGAACGAGACCCACGATGGCCTCGTTGGACTTTTGAGAAGGACGCTTGAGGTACTCCTTGACCTTGTCCACAGGGGTGGATGCGGTGATCACACGGGTCATCTCCATGCGAGAGTCATCCTTCTTGGATTCTGCCTTAGCTGGAGCGGCTGGAACGGCGGGCTTCGTTTCGGCTGGGGCAGCAGTCAGACCAGCCTTCTCTGCCCACGGACCCTTGGCATCGCCCTGTCTTCTCTTGACCTTGAGACTCTTCAGATCCAGGTTACGTTCGATATCTTCCAAGCTGACTCCTGCAGCTACGCAGCGAGTCAGGGCAAAGTAGAGTAAATCGGCAGCCTCAAAAGCGATCTCTTCCTTGGTGGTGGCGCGGCACAGCTCGTCAGCCTCCTCCATGATCTTTGCCTGGGTCAGCTTGGGCTCGTTGAACAGTCTGGCGGTGTAGGAACCGGCTGGTGCATCGGCTTTGCGGGCCTGAAGGGTCTTTTGCAGACGCGCAAGGCCATTGTAAGGCCCGAAGCAGCTGGCGGTACCCAGGTGACAGAAGCCGCGGCCAATCTGCTTGACAACAAAGACCAAGCAGTCGTTGTCGCAGTCAAAGCCCAGGCGGATCAGCTCCTGCACGTCACCGCTGGACTGACCCTTGTACCACAGACCCCGCTTCCGGCTCTGGTAGACACCGGTGCCAGTGCGGAGAGCCTCGGCGATACTTTCATCGCTGCTCCAGACGAGACCCAGACATACTCCCCGCTCATCGGTCACCGAAGTCGCGTACAGACCGTTGCTCTGGTCCGCAACAGCACGAGCGGCGACCAGTGCGGCGGCGGCGATCTTGCCGTTGGGATCCTTGTGATCGAGGGTGAGGGCGTCGGCAGAGACAATGCTGACGGCACCCTGCTTCAACGTTTCCTTCACGGCGTCCTCGGTGACTGCGCTGGCGGTATAGATACGGTAGAGGTTCTGAGCCTCAAGATTCAAGCCCAATTTGTCGGCCAGAGTCTTGACGGCGGGAGACTCGGTGCAGATTCCGGCTTCCTTTCTTTCAGCATCCTCACCAACCCACGACTGAAAAGCATCCACCTGATTGCCGGAGGAGGTATAAACGACGAGTCGCGACGAAGGGACGGATTGCTCTTGGGACAAAGAGGTCAATTGACCGAGGGAAATGAATACTTTGGCGGCACCGGCATTCAGGATATCGACGATGTCACCGGAGGAAGCGATGTCGGTAGCATCAACGTAGACATCGAGGAGACGGAAATTCTGACGCAGGAACTCCTCAGCTTGAGCCAGAGAGGAGACCTTGATGAGGACGCGGCCGAAGTAGGCGATCTGGGAGAGGGTGAGACCGGAGGAGGAAGAGGTGGGGTTGTAGGAGATGAGGATTGGGGTAGCCATTATGACTGTGGAACAATTGATGGGCAATCAAAAGATGAGAGATCAATCAGATCTGATGAAAAAGATGATGAAAGTGATCAAACCCCAAGTCCCTAGCCTGGGGGAAAGAGAAGGTGAGAAGGTGAGGAGGATGACGAGGGGAGAATGAATCATCTCGAGAATTTCTTTTTTTGGACGGGGACAGCGAATTTTGGCCCCGCATCGGACTCGGCGAGTGAGAAGAGGAGTGCAAGTTACACAGACGAGGGCAGACACTGTCAACCTCGAGGTTGATATCAAATCGACTGTCTACTGAAGATGAGATTAACTGAATTTGTTTACAAGAGATCTTTGAGTGTTGAGTTGATGCGGTCTCTATGGACTACTGACATGTCGCCGATGAGCGGAGTCTATAACCATATCCTATCTTCAACCGTTTCTCGTACTCGATTGTCTAGCATTGGTTCTGCCATCGTATTCGGAAGAAGGAAGAAATCAAGGTTAATATCAAGGTTATAGAAAGATCTTTTTCTCCGTTGCCGACCGTTTTTCCCAAGGCCTGTTTCACATGTGTTCCGTTCCGCCAGTCATCTGCTTCCATGAGGGGCATGAGGATGAAGAGTCAGTTGTGGTTGACTTGAATCTGACCTTGGCAGCTGATCCTTCACGAGGAGGAGGACTGATATTAGGTAGCATTGCTATGGACCAAGATGTTACATTTTGTTCGAGCTAGAGAAGCTAGGTACCTATGATCACCAGGGTATGCCTGTATAAGTACCCGAGTCTGGTTGGTTAATAAGTTGTGATGCATCAAAATGACAGTACTGGGTATTGACTTTGTACAAACAGTACCAGAAATACCATGGATTTACCCCTGCATAATCCACGTCTATCACATCCCAAAAAGGAAAGCATAACAAATAAACAACGTCCTCAGGCATCTTATACCAGAATATATCTCTATGCCTTCATAGAAAGGGCGTGGACTCGGAATAGTGTGACAGAACTGATAGAAACACTGGAAGTAAGTCGAGGATTAACTACAGAATAATCGCCCAGGGTTCAAATATTATAATCGGTGCTGAAGGTGTCTGTCTAATGATCCCTCCAATTGCGTCGTTGAGTCCAAGCTCAAGTGACGGCCGATCAGGTTAGGCACCTAGTTCAGCCACTCTCTTGGCCATATCTAGACTCCAGGAGGCTCTAGACTAATGTAACTTTCAAATAGTCCATCTGATTCAGTCCATGATCGACAAGTCAGGCCAGTGGATCAAGATGCAGAATGCCATCCTTTCGTACGATGATCCCCCATCCTGTCCGTCATTCCATCTCAACACGCGACTCCTCTTTTCAAGTCGCCTCTTCTTCCTGGGCCCCCCTTCTCCCCTCTTTCATCATTCGACCTGGATGACTCCTCCAATCAAGTCTATCGTCCGCTTCTCTTAATCTTAGACTAAACTGTCATATAATAATCCGCCTGTTCCTCAGGCTGTCACTCGTTTGCTGTTGAATGTCTTAAGGAGAACGACTACGTCTCCGTGTCTATCTTTTGTCTCGTCTCGGGAGTTTTGTATCTTTCCTTCGTTGGCATAATGCGTTTGCCCTCTCTGTCCGTGGCTCTGGCCCTCGTGAACTCGTCTCTGGCGTTGCCTCAGACTGCTCAGCCTGTGGACGATGTCTCTTCACGCGCAGCGGCCGTCAAAGAGGCCTTTTCCCATGCCTGGGATGGATATATGAAATACGCTTTTCCTCATGATGAGCTGCACCCTATTTCCAATGGTTATGGCGATTCAAGGTAGGCAATCAGCCAACTTTCTTCACTCCAAGGTATATCCTGACCTGGTGGATCTATGTAGGAATGGTTGGGGCGCATCTGCCGTCGATGCTCTATCCACCGCAATTGTGATGCGCAATGCGACGATCGTCAACCAGATTCTGAACCATATTGCCCAAATCGACTACTCCAAGACCTCCGACACGGTCAGTCTGTTTGAGACCACCATTCGGTACCTAGGCGGCATGCTGTCTGGATACGACCTGCTCAAAGGGCCCGCCGCCGACCTGGTCAAGGACAGCACCAAGGTGGACATGCTTCTGAAGCAATCCAAAACCCTTGGGGACGTGCTCAAGTTTGCCTTTGACACGCCGTCTGGTGTTCCATACAATAATATCAACATCACTTCGCATGGCAATGACGGTGCCACGACCAACGGGCTGGCGGTTACGGGAACATTGGTCCTGGAATGGACCCGTCTGTCCGATCTGACGGGAGACCAAGAGTATGCGAAACTCAGTCAAAGGGCCGAGTCCTATCTACTCGCGCCGCAGCCTAGCTCCGGTGAGCCGTTCCCTGGCCTCGTCGGCAGTCAAATCAGCATCCAAACGGGTCAATTCACCGACGGCTTCGTTAGCTGGAACGGCGGCTCCGATTCCTTTTACGAGTATCTCCTGAAGATGTACGTGTATGATCCCAAGCGGTTTGCAACGTACAAGGACCGCTGGGTGGCCGCCGCGGAGTCGAGTATCGACCATTTGGCGTCCCATCCCGAATCCCGGCCGGATCTCACATTCCTGGCCACGTACAACCAAGGCTCGCTGGGTCTGAGCTCGCAGCACCTGGCCTGCTTTGATGGAGGAAGCTTCCTGCTTGGCGGCACCGTGCTGGACCGCACCGACCTGATCGATTTCGGACTGCAGCTGGTCGATGGATGCGCCGAGACGTACCACCAGACGTTGACGGGGATCGGACCGGAGAGTTTTGGTTGGGATGCAAACTCGGTGCCTGACGACCAGAAGGAGTTGTACGAGCGCGCCGGCTTTTACGTCCAAAGTGGCGCATATATTCTGCGACCCGAAGTGATTGAGAGTTTCTACTATGCGTACCGCGTCACCGGCAAGAAGGAGGTATGTACTTGACTTTGCAGTAGGGGTTTGCGACTGTGACTGACAGGGTTAGTACCGTGACTGGGTGTGGAATGCCTTTGTAAATATCAACAACTACTGCCGCACGGGGTCTGGATTCGCCGGGCTGACCGACGTCAACGCGGCAGATGGAGGAGGTCGGTATGACAACCAGGAGAGTTTCCTGTTCGCCGAGGTGATGAAGTACGCGTACTTGACGCATGCACCAGGTATGAGCCCTAATATCCATTGCATTTGATGATGCTAACGAGAGCAGAGGATGAGTGGCAGGTTCAACGGGGGGATGGCAACAAGTTTGTGTTCAACACTGAGGCTCACCCAGTCCGGGTCCATCATACATGACGTACATACCTACATTCTGGCTAGTTTAATTACCTAGTATTTTATATATAAGAGAGTCATCCTTATAGCACAGACTTCTTTCCTTGATTACTAGCATAGGTAGGGAGTTGAGTAGACAACAAAGTAGGTCTGTAGGTACTCATCTATATGACGATAAATATATAGCTACAGAGGTAGTAAGCTACCTAGTAATTACTATCTACCTTAGCGAAGGACCAATAATTAGATGAAACTAGGAATCCGGAGTAGTACATTCTCCCGACCCACATGTGAGCGGATTTGAGCACCCTTGGGGTCCATCCCGCCCTGATATTCCCTCAATCCTGCTCACTCCATACCTTGGGGGAAGCTATAAATACAGCACGCCAGTAGACAATAATATTAATGTAGACATGTAGCACCCTTCCATCCTTCATTCATATCTCCTGTACAAATAGCAAACCAAAAATGTGCGGAACCAGCCACCGTCCCACCTCCAACGGCCGCATCGCAGTCATGTTCCCCTCCCCGTCCACCAAGAGCATGAACACGTACTCGCTCTTCTTCCATGAGAGTCATGGCCAGGGCCAGTCCCGGTCCCACACGCGCGCGGTATTCCGGCTCGAAGATCCCCGCACGAGAGATGCATTCGGGAAGTGCGAGAGCATCGATTTGAGGATTGAGTATGTCCCGCTTCCCCACCACCCAGCCGTCTACGGGCTTATCTGTGGTATACGGATGCTAACATGGCATGCAGGCGGTATGGGGACCTGACGTCTGCGTTGACTGCGCCGCCGCTGCATCGGTTCCGGCTGCGGCCTAAATCAGTGCAAAAGGGGATGGAGATGGAGTTTGAGTTGCCCGCGAGGTTGGATCTGGGGGTTTCGGAGCGGGGGATTGTAGGGAGGCAGGTTACTGTTGTTGCGGAGGGGGGGAGCAGCGAGGTGTTGGGGATGGGGATGGGGATTGTTGGGTATGATTAGTGCATACGTTGTATTGCATTGTGTTTGATATTAGCATGGAGTTATGGATTAGGATTAGGATTCGGGTTCATTTGGTCTTGTTGATGTCTTGCATCTGATTCCAGGCCAGGGCTACAGCTACAGCTACAGCTTCAGGATAGAAGGACCCTGCACACCATTCTTGTACCGATCCTCCGCGGTAGCCCAGTTGATCACCTTCCAGATGCTCTCGGCGTACGCGGCCTTGTTGGTGAAGTACTAGTGTTTCATTAGCAAGAGGATGGAAGATGGAAGAGGGTGAGAGCGTACCTGGAGGTAGTAAGCATGCTCCCACATATCCACTCCAACGAGAGGCGTCGCCCCCGTCACGGGATCCTGGTCGTGGGTCGAGACGATCTCCAGCTTCCCCTTGGGCCCGTTGCTCACCAACCAACCCCAACCGCTCCCCTTGATGTCCAGCAGGGTCGCATTGAACGCATCCGTAAACCCCTTGACGGACCCCCAGCGCTGCTCGATGGCGGCCTTGAGGGTCGGCGCTGCAGTGTCGATGTTCGATTCCGGGGAGCCCGGCGGGGTCAGGTTCTTCCAGAAGAGGGAGTGGTTGATGTGGCCGCCGCCATTGAATTTGATCTTCTGCTGCAGGGAGATGAGCTGGGGGACGTCGTTGGCTTGGATGGCTGATGCTTGCGAGGCCAGCGCGGCGTTCAGGTTGGTGATGTAGGTTTGATGGTGCTTTTGGTGATGGAGCTCCATGATCTGTTTGGAGATGATGGGTTCGAGGGCCTGCCTTGTTAGTCTGTTTGCCAGGTCACTTTCAGAGGAGTGAACTTACATCGTAGGCGTAGGGAAGGGGTGGGAGGCTGTATTTGGCTGCCATTGTGTGATGTATAGTGCTATAGTGCTGTGAGGCTGTGAGGGCTGGTAGTAAGAGGTAGAGATGGTGAGGATGAGGATGAGGATGAGGATGAGAAGAGAAAGATGAAGGAGGGACAGAAGGTAAGCTAAGCTACTGGAGCATCATCATCATCAAGGTCCTCGCCGTCATCAAGAGCTCATCGGGAAAACCAAGGCTGTGCGAGGGGTGGAGGGAATTACTGGAGTAGAGCTGCTGGGGGACCTTGGGATCCAGAGCACAAATGAGCAGATTATGAGCAATCCAGCGGTGTGATTGGTTCTTCACTCCCTCATCCTCTCTACCTACAGCAATGAGCTGGCAATTGCTGATCAGGCATTGGTTAAATGTAATTGATTGTCCTTCGTTCAGGTGGTTCAATGAGATGAAGCTAAGTTGTTGCTCATGATGCCATACTGAGGTTGATGCCTGAGGAAATCTGCCTTCATTCTCATCTTCTCACAAACTCCATCATCTTGAATAATCTCCATATCATCAATTTCATCTCATCAAAGGTCTCAATTTCATCTTGTTTACTCTTTAGTTTACTTCACACATTTTCTACCAATCATGGCTTCCCCCGATCAAATAATCCATCTTCTGCCGAACCTCGGCCAGTCGGTCCAAAAACCACTCCAAACGTGGGGAAGTTGGGTCAATGCTATAAACATGGAGAACTCTCGTCTCAATACTTTTGCATCCAAGCATCACTATCTATCCATCTAGATCAAGATGTCCGCCGAAGAACAAGTCCGTCTCGATAACTTTGATTCCATCTTCTCCCTCGATGGCAAAGTCGCTGTCGTCACCGGCGGTTCAAGAGGCCTCGGTCTCCATGCTGCCAGCGGGTACGTCTGACTCCTTCTATCCAAACCATTTTATGCATATATGCATCCTAACAGCGTCAAGCCTTCTCCAAGCGGGCTGCTCAAAGGTCTACATCACCTCTCGTAAAGCCAAAGCCTGCGACGAGGCCGTTGCCGCCCTGAATTCCCTCCCCAATAAACGTCCCGGCGCGGTAGCCATTGCCGTCCCCGCCGACAACGCGCGCATGGACGACCTGGACCGCCTTGTCGCCGAGGTCAAGAAGACAACCGATCATGTCGATATTCTCTTTGCAAATGCGGGCGCTACCTGGGGCGAGCGGTTCGAAAAGTATCCCGAGCCTGCCTTTTCCAAGGTGATGGATCTGAACGTGAAGAGTGTGTTTTATTTGGTGCAGAAGTAGGTCTCCTTTTTTTCGGTGTATATCAACTTAGACTGAGCTATGGATAGGTTTGCCCCCCTACTCTCGGTCAAAGCGACCCGCGACTCGCCCTCACGCGTCATCGTCACCGGCTCCGTCGCCGGCATCGGGGTCGGTTCTATCGGCGAGAATGCCACCTTTGCCTACTCCGCGTCTAAAGCGGCCGTGATTCACCTGACCAAGAACCTGGCGGTTGAGCTGGGACCCCGGGGCATCCTGTGCAACGCGATCGCCCCTGGCTTCTACCCGTCCAAAATGGCCAATGGGTTGATCGAGCTGCAGGGAGGCATCAAGCAGATGGAGGAGCACTCGCCCAACCGGCGACTAGGCAGACCGGAGGATATTGCTGGGCTGGTGGTGTTTTTGTCTAGCCGTGCAGCCAGTCATTTGAATGGGGCTGTGATCGTGACTGACGGTGGGGCCGTACTGAAGGGAAGACTATAATCTGTCATGTAGATTATGATTATATACAACTACATCACTACAGCTTGGCCACTGTCTTGTGCTCCTCTGTTCGCACTGCGCGGTCAATAATCTCCATGGCCCGGTAGAGCTCGTAGTCGTGCTGCTTGGGCGTTACGACCTGAATGCTCAGGGGAGAGTCGAGGTATACCCGCCGATCCACCGTTTTCTCGTTCCCTACAGAGATCAGTGAAATTCTCGGGCAAGAAGAAAGGGACTTACATAACAGCCGATTCGCCTTGTCCCAGCTCCCCAGCACCGGCGCCGTCATCTCCTTGCCCAGCTCCAGATCCGCCTCGCGGAACCTCCGCACGGGGATGACTCCCGCCGGGTAATCCAGCAGCACAAACGACGACGTATATCCCACAGCATTATACCGATCGATCTCCGGGACCGGATGCGGCGCCACGGGGAGGATGATGGCGTCGACCTGCCGGCCCGCCAGCCTGTCGCCGTTGCCGTCGCCGTCACCCTCGCGCATCCACATTCCCAACAGCTCCCTCTCAACCGCAGACCGCTGCGCCTGCAGCTGCGCCAGCTGCACCACGCTCAGCGCCTTGCCGCGCTTCATACGGCCCTGCAGCCATGGGATCAACGGCTCCCCCGTCGACTCCAGCAGATCCAGCATGGTCGACCCATCATCCACGCCCATCAGCCGGCCCGCAAGACCCTGGCATTTCGACAGCGCAGGCAGCACCGGAATCTCAACCACCTCGACGCCCTGCGTCCGGCGCAGCGTCTGCGCCACCTCATCCAGCACCCTCGCCACAGGCGGCAGCGGCTGCACGACGCCATCCGAGCGGAGCACCCCAATCGTCACCTTCCTCCTCCTCTGCACCCCCGACCCAAGTCCAAGTCCAGCACGGGGGAACTCCCCCGCCCACAAACCAGGGATGCAATCCTCACCGAACAGCTCCGCCCTCGGCACAATCTCCGCCATCACAGCCCCCAGATCCGCAACCGACCGCGCAATCGGGCCCGCAACAGCCTGCAACGCGATCCGCCCCTTGCCGGGCACCTGGCCGCTCTCCTGCCCGCCGAAGGGCACCCGCCCTACACTCGGCTTGAAGCCGTACACGCCCATACACATCGCCGGCACGCGGATACTCCCGCCGATGTCCGTGCCGAAGCCGACCATGCACCCGCGCAGCGCGACGAGCACGCCCTCGCCGCCCGAGGAGCCGCCGGCGGTGAGCGCGCGGTTCAGCGGGTTCAGCGTGCGGCCGAAGATGAAGTTGGCGCTGTCGAGGGCGCCCATGGTCTGCGGGACGTTGGTCTTGGCGAGGACGATGGCGCCCAGGGCGGTGAGGAGCTGGATGAGTGGTGCGTCTTCGGTGGCGGGGCGGGATACCAGCGCTGCGATGCCGATGCTCGAGTCGACGCCTTTGATGTGGAAGCAGTCCTTGACGGAGACGGGGAGGCCGTGTAGCGGGCCGACGGGGCGGCCGGTGCGATGGAGGTAAGCGTCTAGGTCGCGCGCGCGCTGGACGGCGCGGTCGAAGAGCGGCTCCGTCAGGCAGCGGGTGAGTTGGTGCGCGATGGCTGCTCTCTGCTTCCTTTAGTTTCTGTCTTGTCTAAGGAGAGGGTGTGCATGTGCATACCTTGCAGAAAGCGGTGGCGACCTCCTCGGCTGTCAGGCGTTTGTCGGCCATGGCGCGCAGCAATTCGCGGACGTCATACTGTTCTGTGATTTCGAGCTCGCGGCCAGAGAGCAGCCCGCAGGTCCGAGGGATGTCCGTCACGTTGACTCTCCCGTACTCCTTGACGTGGGTGATGGATTCGGCGGGCGAGAGCATCCCGGGGGGGATCTGTGACTCGGACAGTCTCCATTCGGAGGGGATTCTGGCGTCCAATTCGGCCAGTTTACGCTGGGAGATGGTTGCGTAGGCCATTTTATAGGTTATGATTTATATAGTTGGTGTAGATGTCAAGTGTGTCTGAAGCTGTGGATCTTTCTTTGTATTAGTGCATTGCGGAGACGCGTAGTGCGGGGAGCGGAAACGGCAGTGTTCTGCCTCGGCTGTCCAAGGAAGTCTTTTGATAGACGTAGAGGTAGAGATACGAAGTCTAATCATACTAACCCTATGGCTAATATCAATATCTAGATACATCCCGGCCAAACAAATTGTTCAACAACCACCGAAACGCCGCCCGCAGCCGATTCCGCCAGCTAATACTCATCGTCAGATACGCCGAGTTCCACACCAGCCACGCCATGCGCCCCGTCAATCCATGAGGAAGATACGTGTATCGCTTGCCGTCCTCGTGCGGCAGCTGTATCAGCGCCCTCGCATCGCCAATGTACGCCAGCGCGCCCATGTTCCGGAACGAGAACGGCGGCGCCTGGTCGATATCGCCCGCGTTCAACCGCGCCGCCAGCCACTTGGCTTCCTGGAAGGTCGCCTGCGCCGTTGCCGGGGGCGCCCCGGTCTCAGGCATGGCGTTGTCGCCGAGCGCAAAGACGTCGCGGAGGATGACTGTCTGTCCGGTGTTACTCGCCAGCTGCACGCGTAGCCGGCCGTCGACGAGCAGGGCGCCGTTTGGGCCTTTTTTGACCTTCCAGGGAGAACCCTCATCCTCGAGTGTCCCAGTCTTGCTGCCCTTGATCACCGCCGAGGCAGAGGGAAAGACATCCACCTCCTCCAACGAGTTTCGCACAAACTCGTTCATCTTGTTGCCCGTCGCCCACACGCACATGCCCACACCCACCTCCCCCTCCTCCTTGGTGGTCAGCGTGAGGCACCGCTTGGGATCCATCTCGTACGGCGGTTCTGCACCTGGCGCCCCCCACCGCAACCCCGCCACATGATGCGACGTCTTGATCGTGATCCCCTCCTTCTTCATCGTCTCCATCGCATACTGCGCCAGCCGCTCGTCAAACATCGACAGCACCGTCGGCGCAACATCGTACAGCGTGATGCGCGGGACCCCCTGCAAGCTGGGATACAGCCGCATGAGATCGCGGTAGATGAAATCGCGCAGCGACGCCGCCAGCTCCGTCCCCGTCGGCCCGGCCCCCACAATCGCAAAGTGCAGCAGCCACTTTTGCATCTCCGGCGCCGTGGTCGGCAGCACCGCCAGCTCAAAGCACTCGCGCACCCGCCGCCTCACCCGCCGCGCGTCCCCGATATCCTTGAAGAAGAGCGCGTTCTCGCGCACCCCCCGCGTGTTGAACGTCTTGGTGACCGTCCCCACCGCGATGACAAGCTTGTCGTACGGGAGCGAGAACGTCTCCCCCATCTCCCACCGTCGCTTCTCTATCGCGCTGATCACGCCCGTCGCTTCGTCGGTCCGCGGCGACTCCGTCACCCCGCTCTTGACGACCGTCGCCTCGCAGAGGATTGTTTTCCGGTCGAAATCGACAGCGCGCGCCGCCGCCTGGATGAAATCCACCCGCGCCCTGGGATCCCGGACCGGCTCGACGATATTCGAGAAATCGAGCGAGCCGCCCGCGGCGTCGGTGAGCAGCGGCGTGAAGACAAAGTACGACCGCGGCGAGATGATCAGCGGCGCGAACTTGCTCGGGGAGAGCCGCCGCGAGAGACTGTAGCCTCCCCAGCCGGAGCCCAGGATGACCACCCGCTCTTTGCCTTTGTGTCTTTGTCTTTCGTCAGGGAAGGCCGTCGAGTGTTCGTCTTGTGTTGCTAGGGACCTGGCTCCTATTGATTTCCGCTGTAGCACTAGCATCCATGATGTGTGACGTCTGCTCCCATGCAAAACCGAAGATGGCGCGGGCTTCATACTGCTGCACAAGACAATTGCAATGCTAGACCAGCATTGTTATGACCGCCTGGATCTTTGTCATTTTATTTACGAAAGTAGCTTTTACGCAGTTGACACCCACGGTGAAACCCGGGTCTGAACACATGATGACCTCACTCATGTCCGCGCCAAATTATGGAACGTGGAAGGACGCGGATCTGACAGAGTAGCGTATATCCTCGTGAAAATCGAGGAGATAGCATCGTTTTCTCTCACCGAGCAACACTCAGTATCGACGCGCTGCAGCCGTGGAGTCGCAGTCTACTCCGAACTGCACAGAGCGGCAGTAGGTGCCGGTTCCACCCGCGCCGACAGTGCGGATTCGCGTTTCTGGTCGGAGTCTCGGAGATCACAAGCGATATTTCATCTATTAATATATCGGATGAAAAGAATCCGTTCTGCAGATTCAGGAGGGAATAGATCACCGGTCCTCTTGTGGATAGTCCGGGTGCTGCGGAAAAGGACGGGGATCTAATTCACTTCAGACGGCGTAAGCACATGGGATCGTCGGGCTCAGATTGACCTCTGCAATGCCTAGATGATTGACCAGGACGAAGGGAGGACAGATTCTTCATGTGAATTCGCCGCGAGTATTCTCTAGCGGCATATCCCAATGCGATTGTAACGAAATGCATCAATTATTAGTCTAACCGAGTAGATAGTATAGTCATATCTCATAATCATTAGTCGTGCCAATCAACTGGAAATCAAGCAGGACGACTCTCCCGGGTCGAAACAGGCAAAAGACTCCCTGCATAGCGCGTGTCCATGCTCCGGCGCGACTTGCTCATGCTGATAATCTTCTCCATCTCGATCGTGTCCTCGTCCAGCTGATCATCGCTGCTTTTCTGCCGATGTGACATCCACTGTCGAATGTGTCGCATCGCCTCCTGGAAGACATAGCCGATATCGTCGACCGACAGCGCCAGCAGAATTAGCGGGATGGAAATGGCAAAGCCGATCCCAAACGTATACTTGGCCACATACGACAGATGCAGCTCCTCGGACCCGTCCGGCCCCTTGGGGAAGTCCTTGATGTTGATGGTGAAAATGGATGTGATGAACGACAGCGGGAGGAAGATGATGGTGACGATAGTAAAAACCATGATCGTCTTCCCCTGGCGGGTGGTCCCCGCCGCCTGGTCGCGCGCGAACCGGGCCTCGAACGCGTTGGCGTGTTTCTGCTTCAGGTCGAGCAGGTCCGTAATGGACGAGTAGATGCGCTCGGCCTGCTTGTCCATCCGCTCGATGTCCTTGAGGTGCATGTCGATCGTGCGCTGCTGCTCCTTGAACCGCTTCTTGACCTCGTACTGCGACCGGTGCTGGCCGTGGTAGATCTCGCAGATCACCTCCTGGAAGTCGTCCAGGATGTGCTGCTGGTGCTGCAGCACCGTGCGGATCATGTTGAGCTCGTCGCGGATGTCCTTGGCTTCCGCCAGCAGATCCGTCTCCTGCCCGATGTCGAGGAGGTTGTCCACAAACAGCGGCTGCTCGTCTTCCTCCGCGGACTGTTTCCCTTGTGCATTGTCTGCGTTGCGCGCAGACCGGCTCAGCTTGCGGTGGTTCTTGAGCCAGTCCGATGCTTGTGCGGAGGCGCGGTTGAACAAGTTGAACAGCAGCGTCTCACGGTCCGTGGCGACGCCGATCGACGCCTCGAACATGTCCAGGAACTGGTATTCCTCGTCTCCCATGCGGTGCCGGTCGAATACCCCCGAGCAGCGATTGGTGATGATGATCGCCAAGTCGTAGACCGACCGCACCGGTTCCCGTGTCTTGGAATTAATATCCTCAATAATGCCGTCCAGGACGTTGAGCGGGTCGTTCTTCGGCTGGTCCCACCTCTGCGCAAAGCTCGTGACAATGAGGTTCGTTCCCAGGATCCACATCCACAGCTGGTCCACCATGAAGATCTTGGGATCGGACCGGAACCGATAGCGGCCCTGCCCTTTGGTCTGGTAGCGGTAGATCACCTGGTCCTGATCGCGACTCTGCGTATCGATGTTCGGATAGAAGAACTGGTCCAGAGTCCGTCGCACATGGAGCGACGTCGTTGACGATGCCAGATGCGCACTAATAAGCATCTCGTCCCTTGTAGACGATCGCGAGATCCCCGGGCTTTGGAAGCTGAGTGTTTCGGCTCGCTGGATAGCCTCCTGCATCTTCTGCCTGCGCTCTGCGGTCTCAAAATGCAAATAAGGCATGAACACGCACACGTTGCAGGCCGGAGTGAGTGAGTGGTCCTTGCAGAGTGACAGGGGCGCTCGACGCTTTTCATCCTGCGCCGATGAATGTTTACTACCCTTCGTGTCGCTCTTGGGCGAGGGCCCAAACTTGCCCCGTTTAGGCGTCCCTTTGCCCTTTTTGCCCTGCGAGCTGCTGAACCCATCGTCAAGCGAACAGGTATCCGTTCGTTCAAGCTTCATACCCTGGACCTTTGATTTTTTGGCCTTGGAATGGTCGTCGTTCCCATTGACAACGATTGTGGGCAGCTCCGTCTCTGCATTCTCCTTGGGCCGCTCATCCTCATGAACAGGGCGCGCTCGGGGGGTGCTCTGACACAGCGGCCGCATAAAATGAGAGTGCGTCCGTTGTCCCCGGTGCTGGTAATTGAACGACCTCTCCAGCCCCTTGAAGCTCTCCACGTCGTGAGCCCCTTCTTCGATAAACGACTTGGTGAGCAACGCCTCCACCCAGGCCATGTTGTTCGCGGGCAGATGGATCCATCGGAAATCCGTCGCCTTGCTGTCCGCTGGGATGCTGCGGAACGCCTGCTTGCGTGGATTTTCTGCGTCCCGCCCATACAACAGATTAAACACGGACGTCTTCTGGACCCTATTCTCGTTGTGAAAGTTGCCAAAGTCGACCACCGTTGCATCAAAGGCCTCACACGCGCCGCGCGCATCCGCCGACAGCGCATCGATGTTGTTGAATGGCGCCAGGAGCAGCACGATGTCCTTTCGCTTGAACTGCGCCGCCCGGAGGAATGGGGTGCTCCCAAAGTTGTCCCGGACACGGCGTTTCAGGTCCGGTCGCTCGAGCAGACACTCGACGACCTCGCGGTGACCGGCCTGCGCGGCCAGATGCAGCGGCGTGACCCCGTTCAACAACTGCGCGTTGATCTTGGCCCCAG